ATAATAAAATACATACATGGATAGCGTGCCAATTACATGACTCGGGATCGTAATCCAGTAGTATCCTGAGGGTCATGATCTCGACGGCCGAGTATTTAAGTAAATGAATTTTGTCGGTCTCACAGAGTTTGCAAAACGCGGTCAACTGTTTGGACATTTTGACGACCTTTCGGATCTCAAAATCGCATTTCAGTCGCAATGCGTTCAGGGCTTCCGGGAAATCGTTGGCCACATTCGTCAGCATCGGCTGTCCGTTGTGTAGGCTTTTGATGGCTTCAAACAATTCAGTCAATCGTTTGCCCTCTAAATCATTGAAGCCATCGGTGGCCACGGCTCTGGGAATGGGAATCACCGCAAACTCCAACTCCGCGGCTGTACGGTAGACGTCGTACGAGATGCCTGTCCTATCCCTGTCGTGAAAGTACTTCTCAACTACTTTGAGGTCCGAGTCGGTCGACTCGCTGTCCCCACTGTTGGCGTCATACAAATCCATAGTTGTATTCGTGTCGTCCACACCATTATCACCGCCACTACTACTTCCAGTAGAGGTCGATGGTTGCGGGGATGTCGTCCCCACCGCCGAGTCCATCAGTTTTGTCAACTCGTCGATGATTTGCTGCTTCTGTTTCTTCTTCTCCTGGATTTTCATTCTTCGGGTTTCCTTCTGTTGTTCCGAAAGTATGAGTTCCTAAACACGTGATCATAAAAATAATATAATTATATATTCATTACATAATCATATCTCTGGTAGAGATGACTGCAATGATTTGCATACACTTCTCATTCCGATGTCAAAGCATTTTTTCAATCGACACTTTTTGCAGTACTTTCTGCACGAGAGGTTTATTTTGCATTTGCCGCCTAAGAAACACTGGAATTGCTGTGCAATTGAAATTCGAAATATGTCCTTGGTTAGTTATTATGCATATTTTGGGACAATATTGTCATTGATTGCAAACCTTATTCTTATCGGCGTTTCTTCGGAAGAATGCTTTACACGACTCGCAAGTGATTGCATTGAAATTAAAGCCTAAAAATAGTTTATTATAAAATAGAAAATAAATAATAATACTAACAATAGCAAAAACAATACTAAGTTATTATTAGAACAATATGTTAATTAACAAAACATATATATTTATATACTAGTATACAATATCTAATAAAATATGTTAGTAAATTTTAATACTATTATGAAATATTTCAATTACCACTCGCTTTGTCACCACAGATGACACAAACTTTATTCAATAACTTGGGCATATTTTATGCTGGTTAACAATTAAAACACAAACATTAAACTAAATAAATCCGTAAACAAATTAAAAACTTATATCTTGAGCTATTATTACTTATTGTAATTATCATGTATTAAATAACGTGTGGTTGATACAGTATCCCGGATAAAAGTACCATTAATGCACTAATAATCGATGAGTTGTGTATGGATTCAAAAACAATATATCAATTCTGTTTTCTCACAAATATTGCTCAACCACTGAATGTGAGAATTATTTTGCACTAATAATACTGTATGGTATGCCAGATATACAAATACTTTTGTACATTATGATTGTAGCGAGAGTCCAATGTTCATTATGTTTATATATTCAATATATAAGGAATATATTCTCATTGGCACATTACACTACTGTACCTCACTATTTAATGGGGCAACCAATATGATTCAAATTGATTTCAAACAAATTCATACATGTATTAAATTTTTATTAATATTAATAATATCGGTTCAAATGTTTACAAAACACATCTTATGATTAATATTGATTTCTTTATTTATATCAAGTAAATTATGTGACAAACATTCAAATATTAATATGCAGCTTGTAAATATTAAAATATATTCTTTTATTATTGTTAAATGTAGCCTACATTATGTAGGTGTACACTGTACAGGGAATAACCGATTTGCTATTTAAGCGCAACTGTAATGTGATTTTTTAAATTTAAATACACTTTTACTATGTCATTTGTATAATACAAATTGTATTGAACTGTTCAATTTAAACACATTTTTAATACCCTTGAAATTAAATACTACATTTTATACTAGTATTATACTGTATTTGACGTTATACTGTACACAATAATATTATACTGTAGTTGAGTACAAGTTGCACCAAAATGTTATTCAATTCGTCCTTCACTTGTCCTCATAATCACACCATTGCTTACCAGTATATTCATTAAACATGATATTTCTTTATGTCTGTCTATTGGTTGACAAACTGATAATTTTTATAGATATCTGCAGTTATTTTAAAAGAAAAGTTGGAATTAAAATAGCAATTGAACCCCTTTTCTAAACCAGTTAAATGTTGATGTTTGCCAAGCAGTCAAATGTTAGACATTTGGTCAATGTTTGTCGATTAGACTTATTTCTTGATTACAAAAGCACTCTTTATTTGTACCAAAATAAATATGTAGCATGATGAACTCACGCTATATATGTAATTAATTAGCTTGAGTAAACTTATATAACTTTCATAATAATAAACATCCAGTATATATAATTAATTATAACTATAAAAATAAATTGCTCTAAAAATGAACTCAATATAATTGACAACAATAATTATATTAGAAAATATTTTAATAAATTACAAAAGATGATTATAGTTAATAAATTAAACGATTAGATAATTACGAGATACAGAGTACAGAATTACGAAATTGAATGTTAACTCCGGTCACAGATCTCGTTCATAAGAGGCATACGTTTGTCGGGGTCGGCGTCTAATAAATTTTTGGCGATTTTATCGTTCATTACATATAAATCTGTCAAACAATTCAATAATTTCAAAAACCTGGTCCTCGACTCGCAATCGGTCGCGTATTTTAGTTTCAAATATTTGTGCAGTAAATGCATATAAACTTGTTGTTGAAATCTATTAAATAACAAATAATTGATTACAGGTATAACAAAAAATTAATTTCATATTAAAGTAACACTCACTTAACCGCCTCCTTATGGATGAGGTGCGGGCGGTCCGGATTGAACAGTAAGATCGCTGTCATCTATAACATTAAAATAATGATTTAATTAATGATTTGCTTAAATATAAAACAAAATTACCAAGTCTATAATACGATTGTCTAAGTCCCACACATTGGCCATCTTTTTCAAAAATATTTTGTGATTATAATAAGTATTTTTCTTGTATTCACGGAATAAGTCTATATTGAATAAAACCGAGTTCTCTGTATCCTGGTACAAAAATAAATCACACACAGAATAAAAACTTATAAACAAATGTTGACAACTCACCAAAATCAGTGTCCAATATTCGTAATCAAAATCATAATACAAAACTGATCGTAAAAAACATATCTCAATGGATCCATACTTTATAAGTGAGATCTGGTCGCTGGCACACAGACTGCCAAATGCCTCGATATGTTTAGACATCTTCACATTCTTCTGGACTATTTGCTCCAAATATATGGCAAACAGTCGACTCACGAGAGTACCGGTGATGGCATTCTTCACGAAGTTCTCGATGATATCCATCTGATAGTCGGACGTGATTTTTGTCAACGGGTTTATGTTAATCGCGTTAAACAGTTCAGTCAACCGATTCATCTCAATATCATTGAAACTGTTTGCTTGACTTAATGGTCGGGTGATAGACGGGACAGGAGTCGAGAACTCCAGTTCCACTGCTATGTCATAAATATGTTGCGATACTTCATATATCATAGGATTTTCATGATCCTGATTATTACTATTATTATTTAAATCATGAAAATCATGAGATGTATTAAGAAAATGTTCAAAAATCTCGATAGAATTATCACAACTACTTGTTTGATGGGATGTCGAGTCAATAGTCGTATCGTTTGTCATCTCAGAAATCAATTGTCTTTTGCGTCTATTTTCTTGTATCAGATTTTGTCTCATTTTTCTCTCGTCTTCCGACAGAATATATTCCTATCGATTGATTCGCAAAACAAAAGTCAAAAATATAACAATCATTAAAAAGCACTCAATTCTGTATCACTTTTTTCATGCCGACGTCGAAACACTTGCGGAGTCGACACCGTTTGCAGAAACGTCTCCTCAAGACATCAATCTTACAGTC